GTTGCCAGATTTTGATATTTTTCCCTCACTACTGGTCCTTTTTATATGTATTTATTTTTGTGGTAATTGTTTTCTGTCATTTTGGTCTTTTAGTCTCTTGTTTGTCATTTGCGTCTCTTTTTGGCCTGTTTTTGTTTCTATTTTGTCATTTATTTGTCTCATAAGTATTTCTTGTATTTTTTTTAACTTCTTTTTTGCTGTTTTGTCGTCCTTTGTAAACTATTTTGTCTCTTTTTTTGGTTATTATTTTGTTTGCCTTTTGCCTCATTTATGGTCTTTTTTGTCTTTTTTTTTGGTTCATTTTTACTCTCTCTTAATAACTTATTAAATCTTTCTGGTCTTTTTTTAAATGTCTGTTTCTGGTCTCTTTATGTCGCTTTTTGGTTATCTTTGTGTCATTTTGGTCTCTTTAGTGCCTTTGTTTGTGTGTTTACTGTCATTTTTGTGTCTTTGGTTGTTTTTGTCTCTTTTTGGTCACTTTATTCAATTCAACTTTATTTAATTCAATTCAATTCAATTCAATTTTATTTGTATAGCGCATATTTACAACAACAGTCATTTCATAGCGCTTTATATGGCGTGAATTCTCAACACGTCATCTCACAGCACTTACATCTCTTTGTCTTTTTTATTTCTATTTGGTCAATATTTTGTGTCTTTGTTTTGTCATTTTTGTGTTGTTTTTAAAAAAAAAAAAAAAAATCTATGTGGCTGTTTCTGTCTTTACTTACTTCTTTATTGTTTCTTTTTGGCTATTTAAAAAAAAACAACCTCTGGCCAGGTTTTGAATGGATCTTTTGTTTGTAGTTTTAACTTCTAATTCTAATTTCTTGATGTCGTTCTATGTTTCATTGCGTTTGTTTTGCATCTCTTCATGGTTATTTTTTCACGTCTTTTCTCGTTTTCATGTGTAAACTCATCCTGCTGTCTCCTTGTGTGTCTGTCTCACCTCCTGGTCGTCTCCTTGTGGTTTGGGCAGCTGTAAGGTCCGAGGCGGTCGCCGTCTGACAGGCTTTTCCTGCTGAACAACAGAACAGCAATTTAACCAGAACACCATGAAGCTGATGTGTTGCACTAATGAACTCTGACGCTCACTAACATGGACACCAACAACATGAAGACTGAAGTCAGACTGTGTGCGTCATACAAACAACTCCTTAACTGAGATCATTTAGAAACTCAGTAACTTGTTTGGAAATGTTGGTTGCCTATTAAAGGTAATGCTTCTTTTCATTTGCCCACAGATTGCAAAATGATCTCACAGATGCAGAACTGAGACAGAAATCTATTTTATTTAACCTTTATTTTAGGGGTGGGCTAATTGAGAACTGGTTCTCATTTTCAATAACGACCTGGTCAAGATGCGGCATACAAACAAGATGAACGACAACAAAAAACGACAACAGAAAACAAATACGATTCTGACACAACATTAACGTTCACTGTTGTCTGATCTTGTTTGATGACAGGTTGTGTTTTTGCCCTGTGGCTGTAGGACGTGTCTATGTGCTGGTGCGGGCAGCATACGCACTGGTTGTTGTGTATCAGACATTTGACCCACCACTTCTTTCCCAGCAGCGCTGTGTGGAGACGCCGGGCCTTTGAATCTGCCTGCCAGCTCAGCCACAGAGCGTCGGGCCGGGGCCTCCTCCTGAGAGACGAGACAAACCAACAAGGCTGGGTCAGGTGGAGGAAGGCTACTGCCAGCGATGTGCGACTAATACGTAACAATACCACTTACAAAGAGAAAGCAATCACGCAAACAACCTCAATGAGACACAAAACAACAACAGAGAAACACAAAGTGAAAGTAGAGGGTCTCAAAATGACGACTAGGAGACACAAAATAATCACCAGGAGTCCTAAAACAGTCAAAAGACACAAAACACCATCAGAACTACCATAAAAATGTTCTGTTGTTTTGCAGATTTAAGTAGTAAAAAAAACTGGACTGTAAAAATCCCCAAAACCAAACAATAAAACAAACAAACAAACAAGCAAACAAAAAACAACAGGCCAAAACTCTCAACAAAGTCCACGTCAAAAATGTAAATGTTATTTTACAGATATTTACCATTATTTTCAGCCTTTTTTGTTTTTGAATGTTACAGAATTTCACTGGTTTTTATTATTTTGTTCCTGAACTCTTGCTGTTTTTTTTTTAAAGAATAGGTTTTACTGTGTACTTCACATTCACTGTATTGAAAAAATTAAACAACTTTTTAAAAACAGGTTTTAATTATAATTTTTCAAACAATTTACTTTAACTTTACAGATTTTCCGTCAGATAATAAAACCTCTGCACTGTGGTCTATAAGAAGCAAAACAATATAAAAGAACCACCAAAATTTTTTTTGAACAATTCCAAAGCTGTAAATAACACCAGCATCAGAAAATCTGTGTTTTTACAAATAATTTGTTCTTTTAGAACATTTGAGAGTACAATGACACCACTCCACTGTTGTTTTAGATGTTTTTCTGACATCCTTGCTGCAGGATTTTATTTTATTTTTTTTCCACAGAAAAGCTGGCAGTCTGCTTGGACCAGCTGATTTTTTTGGTGCACGTTCTACTGAAACGATGCTGAACACGAAGCTTCAGCCAGCAGGTGGTATCAGTGTGTGGCAGAGGGTGCAACTAACTGAGTCAAACATCACATCCGTGTCCATCAGGTCGGTGGAATCACTGCAATGTTCTAACAGATTTAGTAAATTACTGATATTACTTCCACTACTAACAGCAGCACTGCCCCGTCTGCTACAATGCGACCATCTGTCCCTCACCAGCTTTCCAAACTGTCCATCCAAAACGTGAGGACGTGTGGGATCCGACAGCTGAACCCTCTTAAGGTCTGCTGCCCAAAAGTGACCTCACAAGGTCCATAACGCACACTGGTCCTCACAGAGATAGATGTTGACCTCTACACACACACACAGCTGTTGACGTGGGGTTGATCCAGCTGAAGGCCTCACATCGCTGACATTCAGCAGATAATGAACTCACACAGTCAGTCTTTCCACAGCCGACCTACAAACTGAAGGTAGAAAGCGGTGAAGAAACAGCGCCAACCGTTAAACCACTTCCACTTTCTGAGTGTGTGTGTGTGCATGCACAGATGACGACGCGGGGACTGTTGGGGGTTCAGATCTTGTGAGGACGGGTCCTCACGCTGACCCTGGGTGTGTTTCACATTCTCTATCGTCTGCCAGAAAAAGATTTAGCGTGTCCCAGTACATAATGTGTCAAATGCCAAAAATACCAGGATGTCTGACTACATCCAGTCAGCAGTTTGCAAAGCAGCAAGCTTCTCTGACCCACAATCCTTTGCAGCAGCAGATACATCAAATACACCATAAAACTGTGATTAATAAAACTACACAAAAACACAGTCATTGACATTTTTATTTGTTTGTGTTTTTAAAAGAGGCCAAAGCTGTATCAAAAATCTACATTTGTATAAATGGTATTTCAAGCTTTTACAACATTTGACATGAATTGACACAATGTTTTGTGTTTTTAAAACAGCAAAAAGTATTATTTACAGATATTTGCCGTTTATAAAAGAAAAAAAGATTTATATATTAAAGATTGAACTATGGTAAAGCGTTTTGTAACTGTGACTCTTATTTTATTTTTTTTTAAAAACACTTTCTCTGTTTTGTTGTACGTTATGTAGTTATATTCTTTTAGAATATGTGACACTATAGTGACACATTTTTGCTGTATGTAAACCAGCTAAAAATATAATTATATTAATATTGTTGTCTTTCATGTAATGCCACAGTATTCTACCATTTTATTAACATATTTCTTCTGGCACTCTTTCTGCATATGCACTGTTTTGTTAACCATGTACATTATGCAAACTGTATATAATGTTCACATTAAAAAAATAATCGTCATTCATTATTTTACAATGTGTGACCATAAAATTACAAAAATTACTGTCAAGGTTTAGTCACAGGGAACTATGAGCTGTCTTTTTTTTTTTTTTTTTAATTTCTTTGTTGTGGTAGTTTTGCTGTTTGCTAGCTAGCCAAAAAGTTAGTTAGGCTGCTTTTGCCAGCCAGATTTCTTCTCCAGTGAGAAAAGTTGTCGGCTAAAATAATGCAGCAATACGGTCAAATCATACGAGTTAAAAAAAACAAACAAACAAACAAAAGCACACTAATTTAAGAAACAGATAAAGAAGGCTGCTGTGGATTCTTAAAAGCCTTAAAAGCCACTGAAATCCTTAATCTTTGTCTTAAAAATGCTAAGACATGGGAAATAGGATCTTATTTTGCAATCCAGAAGTTATTTTAAAATCTGTTTGTTTTGATAATTTACTAAATGGCTCTGGCATTATCAGACAGGACAGCTGAACCAAAAGCTCTCTGGTTCAGCTTGCAGTGGGATGTTTAGAGCAGACACACTGTCCGGTACAACACCAACCACACAAGTTGGATTATTGAAGGAGAACGAGACCAAATCCATGCAGTGTGACAGGTGTAGCAGCAAAAACGGATGGATTTACACTGTAATTAACATGATTAATGGACAGGTTTTAATATGCAATAAAGTAATTCACTCTTTTGCGATCATCCACATTGTTTTACCTGCTTATAGATTATAGATCAAAATATCATTACATAATAAAAAATAATATTAAATTAATCTGGAAATCTTGTTATTTACAGTTTAGTTTTCAAATATAAACAGATCCAGACTAACTATATTATACTTTACATATTTACATTTTTAATCTTTTCTATGCTTCTAATTTCAATTTTAACATTTCTAAAAATATTAAAGCACACTGTATTTGAAATGTGATGTGAATAAACTTGTTTTGCTCAAACATCCAAAGCATTACTGTAATATCAACATACACTGACCGTAATCTTTAGACTATAACATCTTCTTAATTTGCCTTTGTGATCATGCTTCTCTTGTTTTAACGCTGCAACAATAAACTAATCATAAATCACCTCCTATCCTGATCATCGATTCATTTTTTTTTTGTTTGTTTTGTTTTAATTAAAAAATTCTCTGATTGCAGCTTCTTAAATGTGAATATTTTCTAGTTTCTTTCCTTTTCTCTGACAACAAACTAAATATCACTGGACAAAACAAGACACTTGTCATGTTGGGCTATGTGAAACACTGATCAACACTTTCCACCTTTTTGTGACATTTTTTAAAAAAACAAACGACTGATCAATTAATCCAGAATAATCCCAAAAATCAGGTTGCAATGGGACATTTAATTCACAACACCCCTATTCAAACACAATAATCGCTTATAAGATATCAAAATCCAAACTGGTAGATGCTCCGTAGGCTGGCAAGTATTTATTTTTGCTTGTTGGTGTCTAAATATTTTGCCATACAGTCACTGGAAGATCCAAAACTGAGCTAGTAGGTGTAGGTGCGAAATGAGTTTGACTGCATTAGACTGAACTAGGTGGCTGAAATTACAAAGAGGAGCTGATTAAACACACATAACACGTCACACAGTTCAATTTCTTATTAACTCATTTTTCTGGGGTAAACACGCAGGGCCTTTAATCTGGAGTGATGCACCGTATTAGTCGATTTACTGACTCGTCAAGTGTTTAATTTTCGATGCAAAATAGACACAAATACGCTCATTTTGGTTCCTCATGTTTGTTTGCCACTTTTCTGAGTGATATCTCAGATTGAACTCAACGTCTTCCCATTTTTCACTATTGCTTGACATTGATTGATTAATGAATAAGAAAAAAACAGTAAAGTTGCTGCCCTGAATGTATTTTATGTGTAGAACCATTTTGAAACTCAGACTCTTAAATGAAAATGTTTTATTTATGTTTTGTAAGCAATCTTGTTCTATTAAACTACATATGGTTCAGAAAATACCACAAGTTGACTTTTCTTGACAGCTTCAATTTTCTTTCATATTTTAACTCTCCTGTGATCAGAGACTATTTGATCTACTTGTCACAAACTGAAGTTTCTAAAGCACTGACATGATGAGATACACCTGAAAATGTCAGGCTTTTATCTTTCACAGATACTGAGATATGGTTCCTTAAACATAACCTGAAATTTCAATGTGGGAAGAAATGTACTGCAAGTGGTTTGAAGGGATTAAACAATTGATATATTAAGCTAAAAAACATTTTAAATATTCAGTTTATGATAAATAAGATTTGAGGCAGATTAACCTAAAATGGAGCTACTCAACTTCAAGTTCCTAAAGTCATTTGTGCACTTTTCACAAATTGGACGCAGTAAAAGCAATAAACGATTCATATTATTTCTACCTGTTGTAGCGTCTGTGGAGTTTGCTTGACCTGTGTGATGTAACTGAACGGAGTTAACAGCAGCTATTTATATGGACTCGAGGGAACAAGCATGTATTTTAGAAAAAAAAAAATCACAATCCAGCTAAATTTTCAGCTCTTAAGGTTAAACTGATGCATCTAAAGCTGATTATTCGACACTGAAAACAATCTCTAGTTGCAACGGTAACAATTCAGATTCTTTTTTAAAGATGTGGAGACTATAAATGACTTGTTTGTGTCTTTGAGTTTAAATTTATTCATGTTTTTATGTAAACAAATGCAGGAACCAACATTAGAAGTGTTTGAAACCATGCAGATGTTGCTAATGCTTAGATTGATTGTTGATTAATCTGTAGTTAATTAACTGATGTTTGGTTTATAAAATGTCTGGAAATAGTAACGGAAAAGTCAATCAGTGTTTCCCAAAGTCCAAGGTAACCGATGTCTTGTTTCGTCCAAAGGTTCAGTTTGCTGCAGAAGGTGTTAGCTAGCCAGCTGTGCACAGAGAAGCCTCTGGTCGCCACTCAGTTACTGCAGCTCAGGCTTAGTTTGAAAAGTGTGAAATAAGGTGTTCCAATGTCAGATTAACCTCAAACCAGGTGACTTCATTTATTTGATTACTTGTGCAGCCCTACTTCCATTTCTTTTATTAAATGTAACTGAAAGTGAAACTGAGTCGGAGTCAAGTTTTGTAAAACCGTTTTACGTTCACAAAAGAATACGTGGTAGTCGTCTGCGTAGAAATTGACATCATGCTTTCATTATGCTGATGCAGCTAATAAATAGACAACAACACGTGGGCTGAGGATTGAGCCCTGAGGGATGCCACGAGTGTTTAGTTGAGTTGCGAGAATCCTCACAAAAATTCCACTTAGAGAAGTAAGAAACAAACAATCGGAGAGTTGCAGTACAATCTAAAAACGTCACAACACGTTTGCACTGTTTTTCCCAATGCCTCGGCCAAGAAGGGGAGGTGACGTATTGAGCAGAAATCATTTTAAATGGAAGTTTTTTGAGAACGATAGTTGATCAACCGTTCAGGAACTGCAGTGTTTAAGCTGTGTACAAACAGAGCCATAATTCAAGGACTAAATGAGCTGACGACACCACAAACTCCACAGTGACAGCGCCGATGTAATCTGATGCACTTTGGTTTCCGTAGCCCACTGCTTTCCGCCAAATCTAACCTGCAGGCTTATGAATTCGTCTTCTCGTGAAAAGAAACCGAACAGCAGCCGTTTACTCCTCCGTCCGTTTGACTTTTACCCAAACGCACACATGTAAAGTGAGCAGCAGCAGCAGAAATAAGAGTTTGAAGAGTTTTACCTCCATCCTGTCGGGCGTCGCTCGGCGTTTCTGTCGAGTACGTGTGAAGGAGCGAGCGCAGGCCTGCAGGTTAAATATAGAACCAGAGTCGGAGCAGAGAGAGAGGGAGGGAGGGCAGCTCATGTTCTGTCACATGTTCATCATTTCTCTGTTTGTTTGCTGCTCGTTCTGCATGCTGATCAATGAAAGCCAATTTCAGTTCAACTCACACCCTGTAAGCACACATTTAGTTCACCTGCTGCCCAGTAATCTGATTTAACCGACCTTTGGTTGGATTAATATTTGCTCATGTATTTTACGAGACAAATTTATTCGACCACCACCCATGAAGGTTTATGCCACAGCTGCCCTAAATGAATGTAATTGTTCATACACCAGAATGTAGAGGCTCTTTAACTAAAATCATGTTGTTAATGCTAAAATATGATCATTATTGTTTTCCATGCATTTGCAGATTTACTGTTTTACCAAAAAAAAAAAAGATAAAACAGTAAAGCACGTTATTATTTTGTGATTAAGATGTATGTTACTTAATTTCCCTAACGTACCCCACCAAAGGGATCAATACATTTTTTTTAAAAAAAATCTAAATTATAGTTGTATCCTCGTATTCCTGAACAGAAAAGTTAGTTTTAGTGCTTGAATGTTATACTTGATTGATTTCTGACTTCTCAGAGGCTCAAATCTGGGTATAAAAAGGTGAATTCAGTTTGAAGTTCCTCACAGATCTTAACAAATTAAACAGGTGGTCTAATCAATCTGTTAAGCACTGTATACATAATATATACTTTGTTTTTTGACTGTCAAATTATTTTGCTGCCGTCTTTCAGCTCAGGCTGTTTGACCCCACTTAAGCTCCTGTATATGTGATTTCAAAAGTTTTATTTTAACAAGTTTCACAATTTCAGATGAATAGTTTCAAAACTTCTTATTTTGTAAGACTTTCTGTTCTCTTTTAGACGGTTTATGCGTTTGTATTTATATTTTAGAAATCCGACACAAAGAAATTAAAGCTGCAGCTTCTGTTGTTTTAAAGTGTGATTTCTTTGAAGCCACTAAATTCTGAATCATAAAACTCGTCAAATTTGATATTTTCCAGTTTTTCACTATTCTTGTCCATAGGAGTATTTATATGCAGAGTTTTTCTTGCACCAGAGAACTGTTATCTGGTTATGTGTCGGCTAAGTGCGTCCAATTTAAAATCCTTGTATTCTCAGTTGGTTGTTTTGTCTCGACCTCAGTCTTCCAGTGAGTGGAGTGTTTGCCAGGCTCGCTCCACTGTGATAATCTCTGGCAATAAGAAGTACTGATTGACCGATGTGGGTTGTTTTGCAGGGCTGATGTCGATTATTGGTAATCAAGGAGCCCGATGACAAATACTGTTGTACATACACACCTGTGATAGCAGAAGTAGGCTTCTTTCCAACAAGTGAATTCATTAGGTCAGTAATTACTATAGTTAAAAATACATGTACAGTAGCAGTTCTTCTGTTTTCTTATAACTCTGGCTGTTCTTTCACTTTCATTTCTTTTCAGGGCCGAAATCGATCCCAACTATTGGTAATCAATAAAGACTGATATGAGATATTTGGAACTGATATACATTAGACATCTTAGATTATTCATTCATTACTAGAAAACCTCATTACTAATGATTACTCTAACTGAATATGAACTGCAGGAAAAGGAGCAATGATGTCAGAGTGAGATCGATTGATCGAGATTGATCAGTTTGTCTCCTGCAGGTTCATCAGCTGTTCTCTGTTTCCTTGATCCTTAACTGATGTTTCACTTTTATTGTCATTTTTTAAAATTGTTTTTCCAGACATTGCTTCAGGCTTAACCTGCGGCTGCCTCCTAACTTAGCCGCTAACCATTAGCGTAGCCTTAGCCACTGTGGGAGTAGCTAATGTCCTGATTTGTGGCGATGGCTGGGGTTCCTGTTTAGTTTTTGCAGCTTGTGTTTTTCCTAGAGAGACATGTCAGAACAGAGTGTTAAAGTTAATCAGACTTTAGAAAGATGTCACAGTTACTACAGATAGCGCTAGCTGCAGGCTAAGAGGAACAGCAAACCTCTTAGTGATAGCCTTGGCCTAGCACCGTAGCTGAACCTGAAATATTCAGGTATTTCCAGTGTAACAGGTAAACTGGGCATGTTTGTGATGTTTATTACAGCAACATCTGCTAATTCACTGGAGCTGCTTCAGTTGGATAATGTGCTCGTCTGTCCCCGACACTGAAAAGTAGTTTTCAGTGTCGGTTACTTGTGATGTGTAACCAGCAGATGGCGCTGTGGGCAGGACATTGCTGAGAACACGGAGTGACTAAAGCCAACGTAGCGCATTTAAATTATTTTCTTGGGAGTCAGGAGACAGAAATAGTGATACCGATAAAAAAACGGATTATCGCCTCAATTTATGACTTTTTGTGATGATGAGCTTCATTAGCGAGGGAACATTTAAGTCACATGACAGCATGAGACATGGTCGACATCGGCTGACATGAAACACTCATCGTAGCTCTGCACGCTGCAGCGATTTAACTGTTCATTTTTATTTTGTTTCCCTCCTTGTCTCCTTTCTGCTCGGTGTAAACGTTGCCTGCAGTTCAGTCGACTATTGTGTCATTTTCGTGACATGACTGTTGGTCACAGCTGAGTCAGTTACGGTCTTAATGGTGCAGAAATTTTAGTTTAGTTTAGTTTTTTACAGAATCCAGTTAATGTAAATAATTAAATCCTGGCATTTTTTAAAAGAGGCATGTAGGATAAATGGATTTTAAGCTCAGATTTGGTTAATTTTCTTCACAGAAACACACTGTACACGATTAGTTCAATGACCGTTAGAACATTGAAAATGTTGGGATCTTTTTTTCTTTGTTTACAGTTTCTGGCTCTGATAAACGCTGTCATTAAAAAAAAAAAAAAAGATAACGCATCTTCCAAACGTGCAGTGATAAGATGGTTTTTGCTAATCTGATAAATGGAAGCATCTTAAAACCAACACATGAATCTGTTTGAAAACCTGGTTGACAGTCGCAGAAACCAACAGAGCAACACTGTCCTCGCTTTTTTAGCTGATATTTGTTCATATTTTCTCAATGTAACGTAAACATACCATGTTTGTACCAAACAAGACAACAAGACAGAAGCCTCATCACAGCCTTGTCCCTTATCACAGCGGGTGTTCCTGTTATTATGTCCACCCCCCTGAGTGTTTTGATGTGACGATGAAGAGGAACCTGACGGATGCCTCCTCGGCTCGGTGAGGAAGTTGAGTCACTCGAGCAGAGAAAATTTCGTCTTTCGTTTCTCCTTTTGTGTTTCGTCACTTCTGCCCCTGAAACACTTTTCGCTGCTCATGGTTGCATAAATAAAAACTCTGACACCAACATTCACTGTGAACTTGAGGTCGGGACAAAAATGACCGATTTCTAAATAAGATTTTGAATGCATGACTTCAGCTTCCAGTTGCATTCTGAAATAGTTTTTCCTTTTTTTTTTTTTTTTTTTAATAGAGAAATAAGCAAAATAAAGCGTAGGGTCTGAACATCCCAACAGCAAAACGTTCCTCTGCCTGTTTTAGGCGCATTTCACTTCAACTTCTGGCCGATCAGAGTTGGCGGTTTGTCTTCTGAGCGGAAACACAGGACGTGGTTGGAGGGGAGGAGTGAAACCGACAGGAAGACGCAGCGTTGAGACGGAGAAAACCTTATAAGGTGAAGTGAAAGCTCCTGAAAATGTGAAACGTGTTACGCAACGTCACAGCTTCTGTCAATTAAAAAAAAAAAACAAAACCCAGGGGAGCTTTTCTGCTCGGATGTCAAACGTTTCACCCGACCGCTTGAGCAATAAAGAATATAGGAAATGTAGTTTTTAACAAAGCTGCGGCCCCAAGTTCCAACAACTTCATGTAAACTCTACAGATCTGATATTGTGCCGCTTTCACCAAAATTAATCAAAGTCTCCAGATTGTGTCTTTTAGTGTTTCAGCTCATAACACTGCAGAGACGGTTCATTTCTCCTGTAGAACTCCTGGTTTAAGTCCTGTTCTGAGCAGGTAGCTTTAAACAGGGCCGAGCTGCTGCTGTCTCCGCCTCCTTCAGGAAGAAGACTCCCTCTGCGTCTGTCATTGACAGCTTACTGGCTGCAAATACAAACCTGAATGAGTGCGTGAGCTTCTTGCGTTCTCTGCAAGAATCATTTTATCTGAAAATATCAGTGAAATCTCAGCACAAGTTGTTTTTAACTCGTGTTCGGTGAGTTTGTCGCATGACGCTGCATGAAATCAGTATCTTAGCTGCAGCTTGGAAGTGACTGATGGTTAACATATCATCCCAATGGGCTGAGCTTTAGTCCCTATTTCATACTTGTTCTGTTGTCTGACAACAGAAACAGAAAAATATGCAAATAAAACAACTTTATTCTGAGTTTAGCTGTATTAAAATGCAGGTTGTGTGAGCACAGAGAACAGGAGAGAAGCTAACAGAGTTTAGGTTGACCTGAAGCACAACATGCGACATGAAACCACAGCGACCCACCCAGTCCTTGTTTACTGGTTTAAATGAAAGTTTGCACCATCGCTGAATGTCCGGTGCTAACACTGGTTATTTTCTAGTTGTTGTGGGGACATTAGCATCAAAACCAAAATAGTAAAGGAAAAATATCAACATCTGCCAACTAAATCGTTACCAAACAACTTCTTCACCAATATGTTTGTAAAGGTGTAATAACATGCCTTAAAATGTTGAAGTTCA